GCACGGGAACAACAGCAGACAGAAGGACCAGGATTTTTTTTTTTTTTAAACCATTCTCTCTCTCTCCTTCTTACACCAGCCATCCATTTTCTTTCTCCTCACAAGGGTTGCGGGCGTGCTGGAGCCTATCCCAGCTGTCTTCGGGCAGTCGGCGGGGTACGCCTTGAACCGGTTGCCAGCCAATCGCAGGGCACACATCGACAACCAACCATTCATGCTCACACTCACTTCTCGGGACACTTTTGAGTGTTCCATTAACCTACCAGTGCAAGGGAGTACTGGGAGAAAAACCGACGTAGGCACGGGGAGAAAGTGCAAACGGGGGTCGGATGATACCACTTTACTCATGAGATTCCTTCCAAACAAGTATATTGACTGTTCAGATTTTGTTTACTAATTCACCAATTCATTCAAGTCTCTGCTCTGCTCAGTTGTATCAATGGAAAGAGTTGAACAGAAACGCGAAGGAACTAAACATATCCGGTCATGTCAATTTCAAACATGACCTCAGATCAGACAAATAAAAATGGCTGACACTGAGATCGTTCATCTTGGCAAACAAAACAAAAACAGAATAAACTTCCCAACACATACCGAGATACCCCATTTAAAAAAAAAAAAAAACTGTTCATTTCTACTACAGAACGGTATCGCATGCGCTTCATTAAGGCAACGCGCTTCAATATGCGCATGGTGTTTGCTCCCGTGGGGAGCAACATGAAAAGTTATTAGAGACTTAAGAGCTGTTATTTAAGTCACACGCAGAAGCGTGGCTTGTAAAAGATTAATTTGTTTACCAATAAATTATTGAGAGGTGGAATTTAATCAAAGCTACAGATGTTGCCATCAAAAAGGGCCGTTAATCTACTTTTGATTGCAAAATAATGAAACGCATACAATAAAAATCACAGAGACGGCTTGTTGATTGCAGACTTAATTAACTAACTAAGGAGGAGAGAGAAAACAAAACAAATGTTGACTTCGTAACGGCTCAGCAAGCGACCGATCGGGGCAGAACTTCACACATCACATCTTATTTAGCTCCATTAGTGGTTCTGTTGTACCAGGTGTGTCCAAAGTGCGGGCCACACGGGCTGTTAGTTTGGATTGTATTTCTTACTTTGGACACTTGTTGGTGTGCGGTGTCATGTCAATAACGACTACAATGTTCAATAAAATTATGACAACAAACAAGAGAGCAAGATCAACACAAACTGGTGAGGGAGCAGCAAAAACTGCAAAGGGCCGCTCAATCTCATCTTATTTTCTCCATGATAAAGACAACTACAACTTGATGGGTTTTTTTGCGCACGAATATGATGTAAGATGAGTACAGATGACATGCATAAGAGCTGGTTTTTTTTTTTTTACTTCTTCAGAGAATTGATGATATTACATATTTTCAGTGGGACACTCGTACTCCGTTGCGGTGTCTCAATGAATATTCCCTCCGAGAAGCCAAACTATCTTCCAGGAAAGATACACTTACTTTATCTATCCTCCAGAGATGGAAAACCTGGTCTCTTATCCTCTTCGGAAAATGTATTAGCTACCTCGTGATCAAATTTCAAGGACATGCAAGTGTGGGTTTCGACTTTTGAGTGCCAAGTGCAATGGGAGAAAAGTATTTCTTTAAGTGTCGATCTCGGAGTTCTTGCGCTCTCATCCCCTACCTGCTAGCCTCTCTGAGTTTCACAGGACTTCAAAAGCTCTGCACTGCTGAGCTCTATCGGCTCCATGTCTTTTTTTTTTTTTTCCCTGCCTGCTTTGCCCCAATGCTTCCTTCCACCACTGCAGCGCTCTCACTCTGTATTCTGTTAGAATCCTGATGGGTAATGGGAGCAGCAGTCAATCAAACAACAGTTTTAAAAAGTGATGCTTTGTTTCACGCCAGCCTCCCACAAATCCCTCGGAGGCCGGCACCTGTCAGGCTGTCGTGCGCAAACGCGTCATCCGGTGCCAGTCACCCAAACCCCGGGGTCCCTTGGCAGATGGAATAGTTAACTTCTCAGCTGCCTGTCTAGAAATGAGGTCATTCCATTTTGCTAGGACAACCCTTTTTTAATTTATTTTTTTAAATAAACAAGGTGTCGCAAAACTAAAACAACATCAATCGCCCCTCAAGTTAACTCGGCTTGAAAAAAAATAATAATAATAAAAATAAAAAAAGAATTAAAGCTCTGACTTTGAGTGAAATTTGATATCTGTGCTGTCAAAGACTGAAATAAACCTTGACACAAATGAAGAATGCATTTTTATTCTTGTCCGTCATTTTTACTGGGTGACACATTTGTCCAAACATGGCTGGCTCTGTCAGCTCTAATTCCAGCGGGCCTGGTAATAAACTGTCAAATGAGATTCATACTGTGAAGGAACAGTACAAGCTAATACAGCAGACTGAGCGAAGGTTTTTTTTTTTTTTTTTTTTAAATGACATGGTCTGACTCATTCCATCTTTACAGTCATTGTGACCTTGCCATCAGTGCATCATTACCAAAGGTCCATTAGACAGAAACGTGCCTATTCGGGTTATTTGTCCAGCTGCAGCCTCGTCTTATGACCTAAAGAGGTGAAACAAGTGGGCAGCTTCGAAATTGTGGGTGAGTCATGGTTGAATGCTTTTATAAAGACATTCGACCAATGTACATTTGTAAAACACAAAAAGAGCCCAAATTGCAAAACAACAATAAAGCGTAACGGGCAATTGGAGGCATGTGGACCTAATCTCTTCATCCAAGGGTCTGGAAACTGCCTCGAATTAGTTAAATGGACCGAAGAGAAAAAACTCTGCCTTACTTGAAGCTGCGATGACAATTCTGGAGGCTTTTTTTAAACTAAAAAAAAAAAAAATGTATGGTAATCATCTTAGTTTTTCCAAATTACATTTCTACTTTTTTTTTTTTTTTTTTTTTAAAGAAGTTTGACAAGATCACCCATTTATTGGGGCTGTAACCAGAATCAATTAAAACATGACACCACACTGAAATAGAACATCCTTATACTTTACATACTTAACTAAACTGAAACAGCATTTTTTTAGTGTCTTATATCTAGTTAGGAAGTACCCGAAAAATTGTAGCCTCCTCCATCGTTTGAGTTACTCATCCCTGACTTAGAAAAATAGACAGACGGGCAGTCAAGCAAGAAGACATAAATACAGCATTGACAGACAGAACGACAGATAACAACATGCCAGGTCTAATTAGGTCATTGGAAAAATACTATTCCATCTTGTGCCATGTGTTTTGACATCACCAACCTTAGGAGAATATATCTATATCTATATCTATATATATTTTTTTAATATATATTTCATATGCAACACTGTTGATACATCAACAAACCCATGGAAATTAAATGTCACACCAAACTAGTAAAACAGGAGAGTGGGAGACCAATACCCTGCAAGGCAGGTTATTTCGGAGTTATTTGCTTTAATAAACCAATTACTCTTAGAGACGATGTAATGACTGGCGTAATGTATTTGGATTTCAATTCAAAACATTTGTCAAGGAGGGGGCAAAAAAAGAAAGAAAAACATTAGCCAGATGGACAGAGGGAATTAATAATAATAAATGCAATCGGAATTTGCTAAACACAATTAGACTTCTCTCAGGGAACGAACCACATGTTTTTTCAGTGAAAACCCCACACTGTTTTTTTGTATCCCTGTGGCTTGAATTGATATTTAATAGAATCACATCCATCACTGCCGGAAAATCTTTAGTTTTGCCAGTGTCAAAATTGGGCTTTGGGGGAAAAAAAAATATATATATATTTCCAAGACATAATGTTAAGATTCTGAGGTTATATCTTATCTTGAGACTGATGGGCCATACCTGTATTGGCACAGGGATTGAGCTAGTTATCAGTTTGGCCAGATAATCATGCCATTGCTGCTGTAATTGACTTATATAGGATAGAGGAGGGGGGCAGTATGCGGTCGAAGAAGGGAGACGGATCCTTGAAAATCATTATTATATACGCATCTTGTGGAGCTGGAGACACACACACACAAACACACACGCACGCACACACAGTGAATATGATCTTCCCAGTTTACCAGAAGAACAAGTATAACATATGTAAGGACCGTAGGCACGCATAAGCCACAACAGGTACGAGAGTAACATCCAATGTCCTTCAATGAACCTTACGTGGAAGAAAAAAAAAACCAAACAAACAAACCCGGACAAGTATGGGGAGAGCGTGCAAATTCTACACAAAAGCTTGGAGGTTCTGGATTTGAACCTCTAACTTAGAAAACAATGAGACAGATTTGCTGATAATCATGCATTTACTGTCAGGTGTTCCAGATATCGAAAAGGGTGAGTAAATGCTGGATTTGCAGTTTTGATTTTTTGGGGGGGTGATAGTGATGCATTGAACGCTCAAATCAGTTTGCATTTTACTGACTACCGTGACATATTATCCAAGTTGCTCACTGCAAACAACTATGTTGTCTCCTTGCATTTGAGTTAAAAAGGCGTGAGCGCGACAAAATAAATGAGTCATTTAAGTAGCATTTGGAATTCATTTGGAACTTGTTATCGCCATTTCAACTCTCCATGGCATTGGTGATACAACTCCAAGATAATCTTTGCTCAACAGAAGCCGTGAGTGAAACGGAGATGAACTCAAACAGAGCATGACTGGAAAAAAAAAAAAAAAGTGTGTGAGGCTGAAAGGATTACCTCTGATCCAGGGATAATGAGGGGAAAAAAGACATGAAATTACATTCTAGCGCTAAGATAAAAGATTCCTGCTGGTGTTTCACCTTGCCTATGAAATCCGCTTGTTGTCAAGTGTGCAGTGTTTGTTATCCGTGACAAGCAAAATGAGAAAATACAACCGCAACAAAGTTGATATGCCATATGAGACGCCGTATGTGAACTAAACTGTGTAACAAAAGGCATAACGGTAGTCTTACTGTTCCTCTTGAGCGCATTTGTATAGTGAGTCAGAAGCATTCCGACATCCATCATCAACTGTTGACCTACCTGTCTGAAGATGCAGGGCGTCCATTGCGAGGCTTGTTGACCTGAGCGTAGAGCGCCTCAAGAGGTGGGTTGTTGTTTGGAAGATTGGACGAAGGATGAGGGCTCTGCGGACCCAGAGGGAGATGGTACTGGTGGACACTTCCGTAAGGGTCTAAGCTGCCGCCGTCCGCGGACGAGTCCCAAGATCCGATGCCAGCATAGGTGTGCTCTTCGTCCGAACTCAACGCGGAGTGGCCGATGATATCTTGGATTTCGGCGTATTCCCGCTCCTTTGCCTGCTTCTCCCGGAGCTCACGCTTTTTGGCCTGTATTCTAGGGGAAAAACAAGGTCATTGTTTGAGATTATTCACTTTAGTCGTGATATCCGTGCGCAAAAAAAAAAGGGGGTTGCAATTGCCTATAATGCAGTATTTCCTTTTTTTTAGTGTAGCTTGTGGTAATTAAACTCTAAAAAGAAGTTCCGTCTCTGGAAATGTTCTCTAAGTGGGTAGGAAAAAAAACGTGTATGTTCCTTTTTATTCAACGATGACACTTTCAATGAGCCACCAGAAAACTGAATTGATCTTATCTGTGAAATCCGGGCCCGGCCTAGAGGAGGTAGGAAGTAAGAGAACCTCTCGACCTCCGTTCCTGCACCTTCTCCTACTTGCTTTTTCTCCTCACGGGGTCAGCTCAAGACAATGGTGCCTTTCACAAGTCTCTTCCTGTCTCATAGAACGGCTCCACGTGAATGTGCATGCATTTGTGGCGAACAGAACTATGTCATGACGCTGCGCCAACGAGGAAGTGAAAAGACCTGGCATTTGAGTAAGAGGCTGAAGGTCGACCTCCCGCTGCAGGCACTTTGACGGCAGCCACCCGACTGCTCACAGGTTCCAGATGTTGCATCCCCGTCGTGGGATCGCACACACGTCTGCGCCAACGGACACCAGCGTGCTCCCTTCCACTATTGCAACACATCCCTTTAACCTTTGGTCATAAACGACCTCTGACATCCAACGCCACTCGTCTCTCACCGCTGCCTCACAGATGATTGACACGCTTGAAACAGGCCTTGAATCCCCTCCAGACTCTCGGTCCTCCATGTCTGTATTTTTAATAACAGTAATCATATTTCAAACAATCACCATTTTTCAGCGGCGGATTAACCCAATTCCCACATCCAACTCAAAGACCGCCTTATTTATTTCCAGCCTTCCCAAATCCCATTTGCTCAGCATGATCTCCACAATTAAATTTTGATGGCGGCCTGATGTGGTGTTTGTATGATATGCAGTCCTCGGTCGTGCATGAACATGTCTGTTCTTTTATTATTTACATGACCACAGTGCAGGTACAATGTGGAAATTCTTAACTAACAGCACGAGTCGTGTGCTCTCAGTGCAGCCACCTGCCCAGCGGACATAACGTAAGTCTCAAAACTGGAAAACACAATTCTCCAAATCCCTTCCACCTGCCATCTGGCTGAAGCGATGTCTGATCTCTGCCAGGAAGGACTCGAAAATAGTGTTAGCGGAGGTTCACCGAAGTCCGCTGGGATCCAAGCCCCAACCCTCGTTGAAGAACTAATCAGATTTATAAAAATGACAACGTTGACATTTGTAATGTGATAATGCCCTTGCCTGGACTGATGACACAAAGCACAGCGACTTTCCTACAGGGAATGCTTGTGTGTGCACTATTTTCCTCGAACACACCTCTGTTAGATTCTTCCTATGTTGCCATCGTGCGGATGGGTCGCAACAGCAGTGCAGCATTCACAACACTGCAAACTAATCCAGAGTAACACACATACACTGGATTTGAGAAAGTCTACACCCCCCACCCCGTTCAAATGGAGGAAATTAGAGACAGGTACAAACCTGTCAGTCCACCCAATGTCCTTCCACTGTCAATGTTACTCTGAGCCAAAAATAGCTAGCAGACGCTCGTCAATATTTAATCGGCCCAACAGGAGTCAGTCAGGGGACAGAGGACGGTCTACGACCAGGCACTTTATTTTGAAGTCAACACTCTTAGAAGTTTGAGAGACTGTCTTTTCGGTATGCATTGTTACCGTAGCAGATGAAAAAAAACAAAACTAAGACTCTGACTTTCTCATTCACGATGAATAGATTCTTTTTTTTCTTTTCACTGCACCCTCATCAAAACATGTTCTTTTGTTGTGAAGAGCAGATGGAGGGCAGCGTATGGATATGTGAATTCAATCAAAGTAGCAGCAAATGATTCCTTGCAGCTGTCTGTGCAGAATTACAAACTCCCAGATAGCCCATCTTTTCCGTTGACACTTGGCCCATAATAGCATCATGCAATCCAAAGAGATAATTGTCCGTGTTCCAGGGTGTTCATTTACAGGGGAGATAATCACATTAACTTGCCTTAGGTATCAAAATCATTATAATTGTAATCACAAAAATAATTATGATCGTAATCACACTTCCACATCACACAGTTCGCGCTTTCTTTGAACTTAGGGAACTCAAATAGGATTGTGAAATCATGATGTCGTTTGAGAAATAAGAATAATAATAACATTGGGACCAGATGCACACTAATGCCCTGTGCAATCGGGATTTCCCAATTGCACAGGGCATTAGCGTGCCTTGAAGCAAATTGCTTTTTTTTTTTTTTTTAAATCTGGACACAGGTGAGAGGTACTGCACGAAAAAGGGAGGGGTATTACATGTGCTGAACATGAACCCATTAAAAATGCTTATTGCTTGTTGTATTAAGAACGGCAATAATAAGACTGCTCAAACAATAGGAATGAAACAGCTATTGAATGTTCGGGCTTGACAGTGGTCTGCGTTTTTCTGGCTGCTATTTTAGTTTTTCCGTCCGTGGCGCTGGCATGAATCGAGGATTGTGATGGAACATTGGAACATACTGTTCGAGACACACCTCATCGAGGTTCTTTGTATGCAAAGTCAATTGCTGACTGATCTGAAAGACTGGTCTGATTATTTTTGGACAGAGTCAGCAAGTAGGCACGTGACAAATTAAAAGAACGGTGCCGGAGAAAACAGAAGAAAAAAAAAAAAGGAAAACATGCTCTTTGGTGGTCTGGGGGGAACAGGGACGAGGAAAGTCACAGTGGAGTGCTGGTCACTGATTAGAAGCCAAGCGGAGCCAAGCAGATAAGAGAGAACGGACATCATAATCAACTGCCACAGTGAAAGACAGAGAATGGAGCTCACTTCAGGCATAAAATGAAGAGGGAGCATTGTCAACTTGTCGTTTATGTGCCCCCAATTTGCCCGGAAAAATAGATTCGGGGCCAACGCGTGCAGAGATAAGTCAGAGACTGATAGAGGCTTGAACAGCACCACACATGCTCCCTTTTCTTTCTGCCTTTCTCCCCCCAAGGCCCTCGCATGGAAGCGGGTGACAGCCGCAGAAAATGCTGCGCTTCCAACCCTGACAAGGTCCAATCGGAAAGCTTGTTGTCTCCACAGTCTTGTTAATGGGAACCAATCAGATAAGCGTGTCCGCAAAGTATAAAAGAGGCCAGGGTGATGGCTGCCGGTACTGGCCTGAACGGATAGAGATCAGGCTAAACCCCACAGGCTCAAGTCCTGCCTTGATGAGACTCCAAAGAGTTAATAAGCTCCACTAGAAAGAATGTGCCAAAATCCCCCCCCCCCCAAAAAAAGCATCTGATTGCCTGCTTGCATCAAATTGATTGTATTGCAGAGTGCTAGTGTTTGAGATGATTTCACCACCTTTCATCCAAAATGTGGTTGGTAAAATACAATACAAGCCTTGGGGGACACCTTTCGCTCTTGCATTTAATTAATCAATCAGGGAATCCATTTTGTTACCCCTGAATAATAATTCTTCATCTTAGCAACCATATGAAGTCACAATCATTGGACTCACCGCCTGGTTGACTGCTCCTTGGAACACACAGTTCATTTCAAAAGTGTCAACTCAATTTAATCACTGCCTATAAATCAGAATTAGGGTTGCAGTCTCTCCAGGGTCGCACTGACCCAGCAAGTGAGTTTTGGAATCGCGGGGCGGTGAAATGCAAAAAAAAAAAAAAAAAAAAAGTAACAAGACACATTTCTGGGCCCATCTGAACCTGAATACTTTCAACATGGACTTGGCATCAGGGCAGGTGGGATTATTATTAGCCCGTCTGATTTCCCTCAGGATTCACTTTCCACTAACCATGGGACAATCCAGGCTTGGCGCAGTGATAGGGTTTGGGAGCAGGTACAAAAGAATAGAAGAATTGGGTGTGCCTCGTGCACCAGCAACTGGGATGGGAGCTCACGCATGCAGAACGGAGTGGGAATGAGAATGCGGTGCAAGACAAAGAAATTGTCTGACAGCGGTCGGGATTTAAATAGCGTGTGTCCATTTTAGGGGAGCGAATTGCACTTATCTCCTGCGCTCTCTGTGTGTCTGCGTGTTGATTATGCTGCTTAGCATGACAGTCGTTTTGGGAAGTGCTCAAAGGAGATAGTCCTGGATGGAGCAGCTCCTTCTCCAGGGCCGGGCAGTCTCCGGGGCGCACTGAGGAAAATGTGTTCGGCCTTCAGCCAGGGAGGGCCTTCGCCGCATGTCTGAGCCAAATACCAGGGAGGAAAGTGCTCGCGCTTTCTGAGCAAGGCCTCCAGATGTTTCATTCAGTCGAGAAGAGAGCCTTTGTGAGGTTGTGTGTGTGTGTGTGTGTGTGTGTGTGTGTGTGTGTGTGTGTGTGTGTAAACCGTTACGCTGCATTTGACAGCCTTCCACCCTTCTCTTCATTTGCCGAAAGAGGGAGCGATATCAAGCCCTATTGTTTCTATTCAATTAGCCGCTATTACCAGCGGCTGGTTGATCGGCGAGTTCATTTAGTCGATGGAGAACAATGAGGCAGCAAGCTGTCTTTTCATTCAGCCCGCATTAATATTGTTCCCCCCTGCTAGAGAATTCAACAGGGCTCATCCACAAGGGATGAGGCGAACCCTGCAAACTGAAATGCCTCTTCTTCCTCCGCGCACCCCAATGTCCACTAACACAAAGCCAAAACGATGGAAAATATGAAGGGACAGTGTATTCGAGAGTGATTAACAGCACCGGCAGGCTGCAGTGAGAAACAAATGCAGAGCCGCGATGATTTCGCTATAATTAGGAGCACCGTTCAATCATGGCAAATCCACAGGGACAGACAAGCGCCATTAGGTGAGTGCCTCTGAACAGCACAGGCAACAATAGGCTATAAATACTATTAACTGTTAAGAAATGAAACATCATTTTTCAAAATTGGTATTTGTTTTGTTTTTATGACCAGTCTACACAATTTGAATGGAGCATTATAATGGAATTCTCTGAAGATGCTGAATATTCATGTCAACGTAGTTCAATGGGAGGGATGAATATACATTGTTTTTCCAAGTCTATGCATTTAGCTTTTTGGAAACGCCTTGTTTTCAGTTGTTTTGCGTTTTTGCTAAAAAAAATCAAATAAAATATGAACACGGTCCATTTCAGCATTGTTCCCCTTCACAAGAGTTTTGCTGAGGAGATTTTAACAGGCCCGAACTTGTTCTGAGCACTCACCTCTCTTGTTCAAGCCTCATTCGCTGAGTGTCCTCCTCAGAGGCGTGCACATCTTCAGCTTTAGATTTACTGGAGGCCCTCCTTTCCACTCTGTCTGCTGGCTGTTCATTACCGCGGTGCTTCCCAAACCTAAGCAAAAGAGAGGTACGGGCGCATTTACTTTGCAATTCTCAGACTGCTCAAAGTCGCACGTCACCTCCCTCATCCGGCGAAATTCAGGTTAAACTGCTCAGAAAGGAAATTAAAGTGTCAAAACTGTCAGACTCTTCAGGTTCAGTGTGTACCGGGGGAGACGGCTGAGAACACAGTCTCCGGCATTTGCGGGTGAATTATTTGGTCTCCTTCATGTGAATACAATCAAAAAGAAAAAAAATAACATCAAGTTTAAAGAAAAAAAAAATCGTAAACACCCTCTGGCATCCTGTCACCTTCTACAAAATTAACAGCCAACAAGAGCAGCGACAGCTCCTGAGTAAGTTGGAAAGAACGACAGGAAACCAGGACGGATGCAACGTTGTACCGCAACGTTGCAAACTTTTACATTTTAATCACAGCAGTTACACATATGCGGCGGTAAAGCCACGACAGCTTCACGGTGAAGTGGGAATAGGATGGTAAATTCCTCGGGTCAGCCAAGCTTGGTGCTGACAGAATCAACGGCAGGGGACCCGCAGGCTGAAAATGATGAGGAATGGAATATAGAAGAATGGTGTCCTCAAGTCAAAACCGTCATACAATATCGAAAACTCTACAATCGGGCAACATCATAACTCACACCAACGTGCTTGTGGCAGTGCGTGAGATCTGATTTCCACGTTTATACCTCCACAAATAAGCTTGCGAGAGTGGCTGAACTCATGATGACAAACAAGGGCTCACGCTATTTTGTCCAAGTGGAATGAAATTTGCTGGTCTTTGATTCTTTGTTTAGCATTCCAGCTTGGCTGAACATCAGCCATCAAAAAAAAAAAAAAAAAAAAAAACGACTGCTCCTTGGACGTGGCTGCTTTGGATGAGCTATATTTTAAAAATGTCTGCAGCCAGATGGGAGATTTTGTGCTTACGCCCAGCATAGGTCAAGGTGATAATGTTTGGGAATCTCATCCGCAGACTACATGCATTACCTAATTAATTAATCAACAAATAGCTCCAGGAAGTAAGAGTCAGTAATTTATCCTGAGGCTGCTTTCTATCATCTCCGCAGGTGACAGTTTTCATTGTAACGTCCAAAAAAAAAAAAAAAAAAGTCTACTTTCAATTTATCTTCTGAATCAACAGCAGTGCATTGGGCAATTTGTGACTGTCAAATATATTGGCAGGTTTAACAGAACCAGGGCATCAGCAGCCATCAAATGAAAAGTGACCTCCTCCTTACTGGCAGCGTGAAACATTCAAGTGGAAGACAAACACTCCATATTCCCTTCCCTATAACACTTCATCCTGTTGAGAGTAGCAAGGGGCTGGAACGTATCCCAGCTTACTGCAGGCAAAAGGGAAACTACGCCCTGGATTGGTCACCAGTCTATTGAGACAAGCAATAAACATAATGTTTGAATTCAGCCATTCGTTTACTTGAACATCAAAGTATTTCCTACGGCCTTTTTCGTGTAGTGAAAAAAAAATACTACTGAGGAGCAATTACAATTATTTGGGTTAAACGGCGCCAGGAGGAAAGACACAATTCAGTCATTTCTTTTCTTTTTTTTAATTTTATTTTTTTCAAACTGGCACTGTAGCATGAATCATGCTGCATTGACAGAGAACTTGACAAGGCTTGATAATAACATATTGATTGGTCACCGAATTGCACTGCTTGAATGACAATAGTGTCTTTCAACCAAAAATGATAATGTTCATCCCTGCAGAGCCATTTCGAGTCAAAATGTATTCCGTCCATGCGCAGGCTTTGGCGGATCAAGGTAAGATGCAGCAAAAGGGGAAACAAACTACAGTTTGATGCAAACGAAGTAAAAGGTGCCAGTGTGAAGGCACCATTGGATCTGAAGCTGCTGTCTGAGAGGTTGCACACAACATGCAGAGAGCGGAGCTCAAATGTGTGCAACTTGTGACTGTTATCAGCGGGTGACCTTGAACAAAACCGCTGTTAGATCTACAAGGTGTTACCATGGTTACCACTCTCAAGATTCTACAGAGCAAATTAAGGCCTGCATGATTTTGCTACCCATGTGATTTTTTTTTTTTTTTTTAATTTCTTCATTGCCACAAATGTTACATGACCTCATTGCAGAAACAACAACCGAAGGGCTCAATTACAACACCGGAATGGATTCATAAAACTAATACAAATGTCACACCAAAACATTCCAAAACAAAAAAAAAATATAAGCCATTCATTTGAGTAGACTTGTTTGATACTTCGATTTGATTTTCCAGAATAACAAAAGACGAGCGATGTCGTCATATCTGTGTAATATGTACAAATTGCATCATATTGACAGCTGTTTCACACTATTCTGGAAAGCTATTCTGCAGTTTGTGAAGTTTCGAATCATATTCACGACCGTCAAATCTATATGTACTTGTATTTCTTTCTTTTTGTGGGTAGAGATCTGGTAAATATCTTGTGTTGGACCTCATTCGATTATTGTCGCTACCCGATGCAGTCTCCGGTGGGCGTAACCCTTCACAATATTCACCGTTTCCGTGTCAATAAACAAATAAAGCAGTTGCATATAATTAGCAAGAGGCCTATGTTGCTAATCGTATGTACAGTAGCTCTCGCATAGTTATTTTATCCATGTAAATCGACCGGCACATCCCCATGAAGCTGCGATCTACTCTTCTGCTTGTGACTAACTGGCCGCGGTACTGTTTAATGATCCGTTCTTCAGCATCTATCTCACTGAGGCAAGCAGCAGTCAACTGAAAGTGATGAATGCACGCGTGCGGAGTTCTTCTAAAAACAACAAAGAAAGATGGAGTGAAGCGCTTGCAACTGAATGAAAAGATAGCGAGCGCGCAGCTGGATAACACGCGCGTCTGATCAATGAGATAGTGAAGCAGTGAATGCAGATGGGCCCAGAGAATATCTATGACCTGTAGGAGTCACCCGCAAAGCTGGAGCACTGCGCCATTCATCACCACTTGGCCTGATAATGTCTGAATGGCCATCGAGCCTCATTTGGACAGTATGCAATCTTGCACGTGTCAGTTATATCAAATAGATTCAATGCTTTGATGGCGACTAATGTGACGACCCACCAGGAATAAAGTCGGAGCGTTCAATTTCGCTGTCATGCCTTGAATACATCTGCGCCCAGCAAGCTCATGAGAGAAATAGACTTCAGCTATAGTCAATCTCACGTTTGATATGAGTGTGTGTGTGTGTGTGTGTGTGTGTGTGTGTGTGTGTGTGTGTGTGTGTGATTTAACTTTAACCGAGAGCAAATCTACCCATAGTGCGTATCATTGGATTTCAAATTTGGGAGCTACTGGCGCTAATTGTTGCGTTGTGCTTTGCAGACATACCGCGCTAATTTTGGTTTCAGGCTTTTGTACGTAAACAATTTTACATGTGTGGAAAAGATCCGTTCTGTCACTTGTCATTTTGCCCGGGTCTTCTAATCACGGTTTTGCACAGCGATGCCGTTTGCACCCGTCGTTCGGGTGGGAGATTTCAAGACGTGATCAGCCATTGCAATTCGTCTCAGGGTTGCTCATTCACACACGCCACGCTTCAATAAAGCAGGCCTCGAAAATTGTTGTCAGAGATTGCTGTTAAACTGCCTCCTCACGAACAAGGCAAATGCTTTCTGAGTGCCGTTGTCAGCCATGTTTGTCTCATCGCATTTGACTTCATTCACCGACAACACTTTGAGGTTGTACCGACTTCCTCGCAACCCGAAATGCGTCATTACTTTCAGAACATTAGCCGTAAAATACTTTGCATCATTCCGAGTTGATAAAGGAACGTGGGACTCAGAACGCATGAATAAACAGGATCCATCTACTGTATGGGAGTAAGTGACGGGAAGATAATTTCAAGGGCAGACATGGACGAGTCATTTGGTTTCTGCTTGGCCAACCTGAAAGTTAATCCGAATCTTCCAGGCGGGAGCTCCGACATGCATTTGAGGCATTTGCTGCTGTGAAGGGTGAAAAGAATAAACTTCACCTCCATTTACTTTTTCTTTCACCTTCAAGCAGATACGATGACGTAGTTTGATCAATTTCAACGGTCGCTTTCAGATACGTTCACCGGCCCGTCTATTGTTGTCATTTCTTGTTGTGTGCCACTGCAACGACATCACCTGCAGAAGTGAGCAGAATGTGATTTTCCTTCTTTTACAATAACATCATTTTTTGAGTAAATCTCATTAGCTCGTGCAAGTGCACCGAATCTTTTGTTTCGAATTGGGGGATAGCCTTCACCATTGATGCCCCATCTGGAATTCCGACACAGTCTGCAATTTCTGACACATTTTAACGGGGACTTGTGGCTTTGTCAAAGAATAGTTTCAACATTTTCATTTGCTCACATTGTTTGGGGGAAAAAAACGAAAGCAGAATTAACTTAATTTTGGGGACTGCAACTCTCATAGTACAAGATATCACGAGTGTGCAGATAAACATGGGGCTTTTGAGGACGATGCCGAAAATAATCAAGGAATGTGAATCGTTCTATGAGAACGCTTGGGACTTGTGTGACGAAAGATGGTTTTCAGCTCTGGGGGGGAGCTTGCTAAATGTGTTCTGAAAGAGAAAGAAAGCAGCAGGGTGACATATGAAGGGGTGAGAATGGGATTCAGAAGGTTTCATGCTGGGTGGGGAAAGCAGTATGTACTGCATCATGGAGGCATGAAATGTATTTATTCATGATTAGGCCATGCACTCGTGGGAGGACACACTGCAGGCAATATCTTCGATTGGTTCCAAAACAAGCCGGCTGAGAACATTTTGGACTTTGGAGGAGTCCATTTCTGTGGTCATCAGTTTGGGTGTTTCGTGTGCAAAAGTCACAAATAAAAAGAAAGATTTCAGGCCATCTTAATATTGTTTATATATATA